CCCCCCCCCCCCCCCCCCTTCTATGCCCCTTGCAGCTCCCAAGAAACGAGGAGATGGCCCGAGCCAGCATCGCAAAATTCTGCGACTGGAGTTTCAAAGGGGGGGCCGTGGGCTTTACGGTTTAGGGTTTAGGGCTAAGGGTTTTGGGTTTTGGGGTTTGGGATGAGGCCTTTCGGGAATTGTAGGAGTCCTTTAATTCCCAGAGGGGTCCAGACGCGCGACCATTAAGGAAATAAACCGAAAAGACCATCTTTATACTAATTTCGGGGCACCTAATTCCATAATGCTGGTTTATATGAACCCTCTTGGATTGCCATTCCCAAGACCCTAAACCGAAGCAGCTTGCCGTGTCTAGGTGTCGGGTTTCCATAAAGTCAGCATCCGACCTGCGTAGCTTGGTGTCGCATTTGTGTGCAATGCCGCACAGAGAGACGGCTCTCCTCGACTTAGGGTTTAGGGTTTCGGGTTTGGGCGTTCTCGCTTCAGATCGTTTCGACACTCTACAGGCTAAAACCCTAGACCCTAAACCCTTAAACCCTAAACCCCTAAACCCTAAACCGTAACCCGAATCCTGCAAGGAGCCCTAATAATCAGAGGCCTGGGTTTGGGGTTTCGGGTTCATGATTCAAACTTAGTGGGCATTTGGGCTCTGAGTGAGTCTAAGACCCTAAACACCCTCCCAAACAGGTTTTACAAGGCGGTGATAAGGGCTTTTGCAGGACTTTCTTGGGTTTAGTCACAGTTGATGGTTTTCAGGGTTCCATATCCGAAGCACCCGACTGGTTAAACCCTACCATTTTTTCGACAGACGCTTGCGAAGCAAGGGGTTCATGAATTACGATGGAACCAAAGCCTCAACCCTAAATCCTAACTAAACTCGAAACCTAAACAGCTTCATCTTCTTTGGCGTGCAAACTGAAAGGAAGACATACTTAGGAAAAGGTTGAAAAGCCCTAAATATTGCAGCTTTACCACCTCATCTTGGTCGGAGTCCAAGTAGAACAGAACTTTTTTGTTCTAAGGTTCTCAACAGCAACCTGATTATGATGCCTCCGGGCGGTGCCTCATGTTTGCGCCGGTTGGAAAACTCCCCCGTACAAAATGAGAAGCTGCGCGGAATGTCCAGGGAGCACTTCGCTGCGAAGAAGACCCTATTGAGCCCTCACCGGACAGCGCACTTTGAAGCCTACATGCAAAGCAACCTTCTGGTGCTTTGCTCGTACTGCTATCTCGGTGAGAGGGGGGGCCTGAGTTGGATCCTCCCCACCGTGCAGGCTTGAAGGAAAGAGCCCTGTTACTGCAGGTGTCTGCTTGCAGCAGGTGGCGTGGGTCAGCCGAGCCAGCAGCACAGGGATTCGGGTTGCAGCCGAGACATATTTGCTGTCGACACCGGAAATTACGGGCAACCTCGAGAACAAGTGCTCTTTTGAGCGCTTCGTGAATTACGATCCAAGCACGGGCACACAGACAGCGCACAGCAGATGCAATGGCAGCACAGGCGAAAAACGGGATTGCCGTTTGTGCAAATTTTAAACCACGCCAGGCCGGCTCGGTCTGGCCGATGAAGCGAACCCAGTGCAATCGGTTTAGGGTTTAGGGTACCCGAAACCCTAAACCCTAAACTAGGGCTTAAGGGTTTAGGGTTAAGGGTGCACTGGACATGTGTCGTTTTTCACCTCACCCGGGCTCAACGGAGCCGAGGTGAAGGTGGCAAGGCGGTAGAACATTCCGTCCACTTCATCTTTTCTGGGCCCTTCTTGGCAACAATTTGACAGTTTTGTCATAATAAAACCCAACCAGGATTAAAAATGATCATGTTTAATATAGCCCCCAGCGAAGAACCAGTTTTTGAATCTTGGGAATGCATTCTTCACTTCCTCGTGTTCGCAAAGATGAAGTTCAAAAGCCATAAGAAAAGGTTCAACAAGTGCCTCCAGCATGGACGGAGGTGGAAGACGCAAGGCGCTAGAACAGCTCTGAAAGAGCTGAAAGCATTAGGAAAATTTCAACCCGACCATAAGGACGTCAATTATGAGTTCGGAGCCCTAAGCCCCCAGCTGTTGATCTACTCGTAGGAGGAGCACTGGATAGAATTATAGGGATTTCCTAGACCTTCCTTCTACCCACTATGATGCCCTAAATACTTACAAAAGTAGGTACAAGGAGGGTCCTGGTTTCTACGATTCGATGGTGCATGTATATTTAAGTGTATCGAGTGCTGCTTTCATCTGCATGCCGATCAAAGCAGCAACGCCCACACCCTAAGCCCCAAACTCGGAACCTCAAGCCGCCAAAGTGCAATCCACAAAGCCACAAAGCCAATCCAAACCCGAAACCCCAATCCAGGGACACTAAACCCCCACCACCACTGCCTACTAGATCCTTTAGTTACAGCTCATTCAATCCGAAATGCCCACTACTGAGGATGGTCTAACCCTCGCTTCATCAAGGGCACCCGGCAGGGTCGTGACACCCCACGAATCGTAAAATGCTTCAAAGCAACCTTACAAGAGTCCCCTATAGTGATAGCATGTTATAGCAACCCATACCAACCTGCAAACAACCGACCCCAAACCCGGTAAGGGATCCCTTGGGTCAACATGCAAATTTGGGCGTCAACATGCAAAGCTCGGTTTCCGAGATGCAAACGGCTCTGGTGGTGGTAAAATAGTATAATAGCAAATAGTAGAGTA